AGAGAATCTAAAACAAACATCTGATAAACCTTATTATTTTCTAGATTGATATGTGATCTTGAAATCAAATCTTGATAATGACATATTCTAACACACTTAGCAATAATTCAAAACTTGTACCAACATGAAATATTTGAAGTTTTTATAATCTGAATAAACTGTGACTAGAGTTGAAGCATATAACAAGATATAGATAAGATAATTATATAGATAGTAAGAACCATGGAAGTTTCTAGAATTAAAGTTTGGTTAATGAACCATGTAAGATCCACCATAGAATATTCTAAAAAGAATTTAAGATAGTTATCTAGGTAGAATCCACCACCTAGGAATATTTTAGAAAGTCCAAGGCGGTAGGATAAGGTATAAATAGGACTGATTAGGGTCTCTTAGGACAACTGGTCAGGTATGGCTTTGGATCCTTTCTCTTTATAAAGTTTGGCTTTGCATTTTTTTATTCAATTCGGTTTTATTCTATTTTTATTTACTTAGTTTTATCTTTTATGTTCTATTCTATTTAGTTTCTATCAGTTTTATTCTGGTTTATTTTGTCTTAATTTTTGATGAAGCTTTATGTAATTGAAGATTAGAAGGATCTTGGATTTTCTTCTTGAGTTAGTTTGCTCATGTTTTAAAGCACCTTTTAGATAATGATGCCATTCTTGAAATAAATGAAGAATCGTAAGAGGTTTTTTTTTTTATCATGGATCTCATAGTTAATCTCAACTACTAATTTTTTTTGGAATAGAAAGCTACTGAATGGAATTTTTCATCTATTCTCATTTATAAAAATATTGTATCTAAAATAAAGTTTGATACATTTGTTTCCATAAAAAATGCTTTAAAAAAGTTGACACAATACAAAGTTGGTACAAAATTAAATTCCTTCTTTGAAGCAACAAATGATGCTTCGGCTTCTTTATTCCACTTAAGTTTGTTTTTATAAGTCAAACGTGTAAGTAGAGCTATAACTTGAAAAAATTTCTTAATAAAGATTTGATAATAATTGATAAAGTCCAAATATCATTACACATCTCTTAATGTTCTTAAGATCTTTGAATCTATGATAATTTGAACCTTCTTTGGATCCATCATAAGGCCTTCATTGAAAATGATGTATCCCAAAAAATCAACTTGAATAATGTGGAATACATACTTTTATCTTCGCATATAATCTTGCATCTCTTAGATTTTATAACATACAATGAACATGAACTTCATGCTCTTTTATATTTTTAGAATAGATTAAAATATTATCCAAATAATAAATAATAAAATCATTAAAAAAATCACAAAAGACATCATTCATTAGATGTTGAAAAGAACCCGGTGCATTTATGACTCCAAAAGGTATGACATATTCAGAATATCCATACTTAGTTTGAGAAGCAGTCTTCTATTCATCTCCTTCTTTGATGTAGACCAGGTTATATGCTCTTCATAGATTTATTTTTGTATAGATCTTTGCTTGATTTAGTTGATCAAAAAGTCTTGAAATCAAAGATAGAGAATACTTATTCTTGATGGTAATCTTGTTAAGTCCTTGATAATCTACACATATCACTAGAGATCCATCTTTTTTCTTTATTAATAAGATAAAAGCACTAGCTGAAAATTTAAAATAGCATATAAAGTTTTTAGCTAAATTTTCATCAATTTACTCTGTGAGTGCAACCAACTCATTTTGTAATAGGCTATAGATTGGTTCAAATGATGATTGAATTCTTTTTTGGATGGTGCAGCCATAAAGACGATACTTTGGAAGAATATCAAGATTCTTTTTTTCAAAAATGTCCTGGAAATCTCAATACTAGTTAGGAATATCACATAATATCTTCTTACCATTATCAATGGACATGGCATATATAGCAAAAGATGGTCCTTCATTTGTGACATGCATAAAAACTTACCTAGAAAGACCTTGGGCTAAATTATGAAAAAAATTGAGATTGCAAGAAATCTAATTTATTTTAGGATTATATCTTTCTAACCATGATAATCTTAAAATGATTGAATTAGAAGGATATTTAATCACATTAAATATTATTAAACTATTGTGACTACTAGTTGCTACTTTCATAGGAATAGTTTCATGTGTAATATCTCCAAAAGATAATGAATGTCCATCTATTACTTCTACATGCACATGTTTGATTTTCTTAACTAAGGATAAATCTTATTTTTTTACAAAGTCTTCATCTATAAAACAAGCTGAGGCTCTTGAATCCAACAAGGCTAAGACTTTGGGATTTTTTAGTTGAAAATAAACTTCTATTGTAAAACAAGGTGAGGGATCAAAGGAGAGAATAGGACTTTTGCTAGATATTGCACATGATTTTAATATCATGGTCTCTATTTTAGTTGAAGCAATTCATTTTTTTACACATTGTCTTCTTTGACAATTGTACTTCTCATTTTGTAATTACGTTATTTCTTTGGATAATATTAAATAGTACGTTTAGCTTCTCCATAATACAAGTATAAGCTCTCTTGACATCATTGAGTCTTTTTCTCTTTTGTGAGGACTTTAAAATATATCATATCAATTTTCATTAATTCTTGCTTTGATAAATAAGTTTCTGAAAACTTAAAAACTGCCATCATTATTTGATTTCTTCCTCTCTAACTATATCTTTATTCTTGATGTCTTTCAAATAATTAATTGTCATATGCAATGGCTTGAAGAATAAATTATTTTAAAGATTCTATCTTTGATATTATCAATAATAAGTCTTTGACATTATCTTTCAATCCATATCAAAATTGATTGATAAGGGCTTTGTCATTCTGGTCCACGTTGTAAGCAAGATTTTGGAATTTAGTAGCATATATGGTAGTTGGCCATGATCTTTGTCATAAAGATAAGAGCTAAGTCTTTGCTACTCTTTCTCAATCACTTTTTTTGAGTGTGGCTATAAATACTTTTAGAAATAAATTCAAATTATAAAATAATTGTGAATCTTTTTCTATTAAATGTGTAAACCAAGAGAGAACACTTCTTGATAGAAGTGTGCCTATGAATCCAACTTGAGTAAATCCATTGGGATATTGGAAAGGACATAACTTTAGATAGAGCTTGACTTATTGCAGAAATCTTTGAAATTTTGATCTTATTCCATCAAGCTTCATAGTCATACTAATCCTTGTCTCCATTATACTTATAGAAGCAAAACTCCCTAGATTTGGTTGTGAGATTGATATTCTTGCTTCCTTCAAATATATAACTTCTTGCCATAGACTCTAAATTTTTTCCATAGGTGTAGGTATATTACCTCCATGATTCACATTAGAAATACTTGAGATTTCTATTCTTGGAGTATTGATAAGCTCATGAAGATCTATAATAGTTGCAAATCTATTCTCACTAAGAGTAGCATCCATAATCTTTCCTTCTATAGACACTTCAAAAAAATTCAAAAAGTTAAATTAGAAGAGGGTAATCCACAACACCTAATAAAAATTTTCACAAAAAATGATAATCTACTCTCTTTAAGAAAAAGATTAGAGTTAGAAAATAAGATTTTTTATTTTAAGGTAGATGATCCATAACCTTCAAAACACAACAATAGAAGTAGAATAATCCAACTCACTTTTAAAATAAGATAGAAATAGTATATTAGTATTCTTGTCAAATTGTTAAGGATATGAATCTTGAAGAAAAAAAATCCTCAACACACTCTTGTGTCACTGAAGAGAAATAAAAAGTCACTCAAAAGGTGATATAATATTAAACTAATATGGCTATTGCCAAAAATAAGAAGACCAAAAAGTCTTGAAACAAGACTAAGGACTAAAAGAGTATTTACAAGAGTGAAAAAGGCTTCATTCTTGCATCTATATATACCCACTAACTAAGAGTTATATAGCGATCTTCTATAAGACCTCTCATATGTGTTGACTTTAGTAGACACATGTCTCAATTTATATGGTAAGTTATCTATATGTGCACCACATAGTTAACTTATTTCACAAGCTACTAATATGTGTGATACATGGTTAACTTGTTGACCAAGTTTCTAATCTATCAATTAACTACAAACACATATAAAATAAAAATTGCATCTATATTGCTTCTAGGAAGCTTTTCTAGAAGATATTATGAAATTAATTTATATTTTCTTTCTTCTACGTAATCATGTAAGTAATTATTAAAATAAATATATATGTTCGTGATAGTTGATTAATATCAACAAAAGTAGTTTGCATAATTAAGCTCAATTGTATAGTTGTGAGTATTGTAGAAGGGTGCTATATACCACCGTGACTACTAGAAAGCATGAGTATAATCAACCAACTCTACCAACAAAAATTACCAGCTAAGTTCAAACCTATTCCAAATTCTCAATAATAACCTATATCAAACTATATTGAATCAATTTAAGAGTAGTAATGGATGGTGATCAAGCACATCCAAAGGCTGAAGACAACAAGTGGAGGAATTCCTCAAGCAATCAGAGGCATTCTACACATCCATTACCAATTAGAAAAAAAAAAAAAAAAAAAAAAAAAAAAAACAATTTGGTTGTAAGTAGAATTCATCTTGGAGAGCATCAAATAGGCATCTTTAGATATCTCAAGAGTATCTTTAAAGAATCTAGTGTAATTAATATTTTACTAATATAGGACCCATATACTATATAGATACATTTTGGAATATAAAAAATACAATATTAATACCGTACTGGGATGGCAAGGATACAATAGAATACAATATGTATACAGTCTTAGTACAGTCAAGGTATGGAATGTATCCAGTACCAATATGGTCTCAATATGGTGGTAAATTCTATATAATTAGATATATAATATATATACGAGATACAAGTAGAATTTAGACAGTATATAATGTAGGATACTATACATAATACACAGAGTAGGATAGTATCTGGTTCCGCATATCGGGCAAGATCGGACCCGGTTATCGGGCAGGGTTCTCGTAGCCGGGTATCTGTCCTCTTTCTGATAGAGGTCCGGGCCGCCTCAGACCCTTGACTCTCTTCTCTGTGTTTTTTGGTTTTGGCGTGCTGGTTGGAGAGCTTTGAATTCTCTGTGGCTCCCTCATCTGTGTGTGGGGTCGCAGAGGGACATGTGTCACTGAGGTGGAGTTTTTGTTCTTCTTGGTTACTAGTTCCTACAGCGGTGGTGCCGTTGTGGGTTTTCCTTTGCTTCATTTTGACTTGCGAACCTCTAGCGGGGTGCGGCAATTTTCTTCCTCCTGGATCTCGTGGTGCTTTGGATCATTGTGGTCGTCGGCGTTGATGGTTCCAACGTTACTTAAGGCTGCGGCGCGGTGCACTGGTGCCGTAGAGAGGACAACCTCTTCTCGTTTTTTTGTTCATTGGCGCTTAGTTCTTACAAGGAGAAGGTGCGGCGTTGGAAAAACTGGACTGAGTTGGTTTTTTGTTCTGTTACAGTGCATCAACTCCCATTCGACGGCATGGTCTTGCTTTGGGTGGCATGTGTGGCGGCTGGTCGAAGGCCACAGCGGAGTTGACGCATTGACTCCTGATTACCATTGAGTTTGGCGGCAGAATTGTTGGAAGTGCGGCGGTGTCGTCAGAAGTCTTCTCCCGTTTTTCTCGTTGTTTTACTGTGGCCCTTGCTCTTTGGCATTCTTGTTTCTACGGCTACGCGTGTTGTGTGGGTTCAGCATTTGGTGAAGTCGTCGGCAGAGGATCTAGAAATTGGAGTTGCGCTAACAGAATCCCCTACGGCGTGATCTTCTCTTAGCAGGGTGCATTGTGGATCAGATGCGGCTTTGAAGAACGACTCCGAGTCGCTGTCCACCTTCTCGATTGATTACAAGGCGTTTTCTCCGCCTTCATCGAGCTCAATCATCGTTCTTCCTCTGTTGTTCTACTGCAAGTCAAGCTGGGTTATTCAGTAGCGCTGGCTAGCGTGATTACTTCCACTCTCAATTTTGACCTTTCCCGCCGATCGTGTTCTAAAGAGCGACGGCTACTGTAGATGCGGAATCAATTGACTCAGAAGGGCTGCGGTGCAATCATTTAATTTAGAATCTTGAATATTTTAGATTCTTTTTAGATGCTTATAAGATTCTAAAAAGATGCCAATTTGATGTTTCTAAGATGCCTTATATTTGGAAAGTTATACTAACTACAATTAATCTACTAATTCTATTTTACTTTTGTTTAGTATTTTTTCTACTCCCCTATTATTAATTATTGTAATTGACATTTTAATTGAATTATTTTAGTTCTAACAAAAACCATAGGTCAATTTATTATTTCATACTTGACTTTGGCAAAGCCATTCTAATTTTGATATATTATTATTTTTAAGTGAATATCTATTCTTTTCAAGTAATTTAAGACTATATTAAAAATTATACAATTTTTAATTCATTTTCTTAATAGTTTCACAAAAGAATTTATTTATTATTCTTATATTCTTATAGAAGTAAGTAGATTATTCCATTTATATTATTGTGCTTTATCATGAATATATCTATAGTTATTCAAATAATATGAATAAGTAGAAGTAAATAAAAGTAATTTAATTTGATAATATCTTATAAAAAAGCTTCTTAGAAGCTTTGAAGATGTGTTTTCACCTTTATATATGTTAATAGGTGATTGGTAGATTAAAAACTTGACCAACAAGATAATCATGTCTCACACATGTTAGTTGTTTATAAAATAAGCTAACTACATGGTGGAAATATTGTCAAGAATATACATATTTATCTTGATAATCATCTTGATAATAAGAATAAGTAGAAGTAAGTCAAAGTAAATAAATATGATATTATCTTGTAGATAGCTTCCTAGAAGATTCATAGATGTTGATTCGCCTTTATATATGTCTATAGATGATTGATAGGTGAAAAACTTGGCCAACAAGGATGCCACATGTCGACATGTTGACTACTTGTAGTACAAGTTGGATGTATGGTGCACACCTAGGAAACTTGCCTTACAAATTAGACATGTGTCCTGGAAGTTGGATGCATATTAGAGGTTCTATAGCATGTCGCCATGAATTTCTTAATTAAGTAGTATATATAAAAGCAAGAGTGAGGCCTTCTTCACTCTTGTCAACTCCTTTCTTGCTTTCAGTCTAGTTTCAAGAGTCTTATGTTTTCTAGTCTTAGCCAATAGCCATTCCAATAATTTCTTAAATATACATATTTTTTTTTATTTTGTCACTTTTCTTTTTGACACAGATTCCACAAGTTTATGTATCTTCTTCCTTTTTGAGTACTTAATAGATTGAAAAGAGTGCACATACAATATCAAAGCTTTGTTCTTTCTTGATTGAGAGTGGATTACCCCTTTCTCTTAATAACACATAAGCATATTAGAAGTTGGAAATTATCCTCTTCTAGACTAATATTGTTTTTAGATTTTTTTTTCCTTGGTTCTTGAGTATTGTATTTAGTGAGAATAGACACTTTTCTTTTTATTGTACCAATATGGTAGCACTTGTTGAAATGAAGAGTGCAATGGCTCAAATGCAAGAGCAAATGAGAGAATTAATGCTTGCAATGCATCAACTCAGTCTACCACCACAAAGAACAATAAGATTATCAAGCAATGAACATATAGAGATGATTGGAGTTGGTTCAATATCTAAACCAAGCCATACTATTACTCCTACAATGGAAAATCAATCAAGTTTCAAAGAACCAAAAATTGAATTGCTTGAGAACTTTGATGGTACAACTTCTATGTTTTGAGGATTCATCAATCAAGTATAACCGGTGATTGAACTACAACCTTAAAGTTATCTAACTCAAGGATCATAAGTTAGGTTTATTAAAATATTACTTATAGACTCTACTTTATCATAGTTTTCATCTTTTCTTGAACGACATGATCCAATATTGGATAATTTGGAAGCATTTTTAGTAGAGTTTTGATCTATGTATAGAGAATATGATACAATCTGTGTTTCAACCAACAAGATTTATATCTTACAAGAAAGTAATAAATTAGTGACATTATATACTTCATAATTTTGACAATTAGCAATAAATATCAAGTGGGATGATGCAACAGTCATCAACCAAATTTTCTATGGATTACAATATGAAGTAAAGAAATTGATGCTTAATTTACCTGATCTTCAAAGATTGAGTCAAGCAATTGACTTTGTTGTGAAATGTGACAATTGTCTTTTTGAGTTTTAATCTGAGAATCACAGAAGGGAACCTCAACGTTATTACAATTCAATGACAATACCAACAAATTTTCAATCTAAATATTTGGAAGTAGAAGACATGCAAATTGATGAAGTATATTTTAAACCTCTTACCAAACAAGAAAAGACTTGTCGTCATCAAGAAAGACTATACTTATATTGTGAAGAAGCTAAGCTTAATGCTAAATATTGTCCAAAGAAACAATGCAATTACAAAATGAGGAGTACTGCTGTCAAAGATGAAACATGTTGAAAAACAAATTTTTCTAACCACAATAGAGACAATGCGGCTAGAATCTTGTACAATTCTTAATAAAGGTCCTATTCTCTCCTCAAAACCCTCTCCCTATTTTATAATAGATGTGTATTTAAGATCTAATAATTACAAAGTCTTTGCGTTAATAGATTCAGGAGGCTCAATTTATTTTTTAGATGAAGAATTTGTTAAAAATCATAATATATAGTTAGTACAAAAAAATAAACTCATATACATAGAAGTTATAGATGGTCATCCGTTATCTTCTGGATATGTTACTGTAGAATAGATATTAGTTCATTTTTACAAGATATTGATAAAATAGACTAATAGTCTATAGAATAGTCAGTTCACGAGGACAGATGGTTAATTTAGTTATTAAAAGTGGTTATTATAGGATTACGGTTAGAATCAGGAAATCAATAGCAATTATATAAGAGTTGTAGAAGTTTGTTGGGATGCCAGACTGTGATAGTTACGAGCCAAGTAAGCTTCATGCTACCTCTTTGTTTTCTTTGTTTTCTTTGTTGTTGAAGAATAATGGATAGTTTTTGAATACAGAGAAGTGAGTCTATGGAATAAATCAAAGATTGATTTATGAGTTATTGATTATGTAATTGGAGTATTATGTGATTGAATTATGTGAGAAGTTATTGGAAGATTAGTTATGATTGGAAGATTATGATTATTGTTTATTCAAAGTTGTGTGTGTGTGTTTTGACAAAGGAAGTCTATGATTACAGAAATTGTGTGAATCTAGATTAGTTGGAGTGAAGTCTGTTATTCCTCGTCTTGGATGAAAATTATTATATTTTGAGCAATCATTTGAAAGTGCAATGTTGAACATTAAGGATATCAGTTGATGAAGGAGTATTATTACTAGATGAAAGCATTGTAGTATTTCTTGGTGTTTTACAGGTTCGGATTATAAATAATTGAGTGATCCTAACTTGTAAGCTCATGCACTTAGTCTTTCCTTGAGTTCGAATCCTCCTCTACATGTTTATTTTGAAAGGAATTGGTAGAATAAGTAAAATGACAATTACATTTTGGCGCCACTGTCATGTTGTAGCATGACTATATAATAAAAATATAAATGAAAAAGATTTTATTAATATTTAGTCATTTTAGATGTCAAAAACAGTGGCCAATTCCAGTGCCAATATTCAAGGGTCAATTTGATCCAATTATGGAGTGTCAAGGACAAGAACTCGATTAAAAAATAATTCAGACAAGTGAGCCTTCACTCAAAAAAAGATAAAAAAATATAAATAAATAAGTATGTATATTGAAAGAGAAACTGGAATGGCTATTGCCAAAAGACAAAGAAACTAGAGACTCTTGAAACTAGACTGGAAGCAAGAAAGGAGTTGACAAGAGTAAAGAAGCCTTCACTCTTGTCTCTATATATACTATCTAACTAGGGGCTACGTGGCGACGTTCTATAGGATCTCCAATATGTGTTGACTTTGTAGAATACATGCCTTGACTTACAAGGCAAGCTTTTCTACGTGTGGACCACATAGCTAGGTTGATCTTCAAGCTAACAACATGTGTGGCACATGGCCAACTTGTTGATCACGTTTCTAATCCAAAAAGTCAATTAAAGATACCTATGAAGTCAAAGTAGGGTCTATGAAGCTTTTAAGAAGCTTCCATATTAAATACTTTAGAAAACTTATTTTTACCTACTTTTATATGTAATTACTAGCTTACATGATTATGTCCGTGACATTAACCCTCCTTTCTAGGGCCGAATTCCACGAGGAGCGGTCATTATATGTTGAGGAAATCTATGATGCGACGAATTGTATTCGCCACATACTCTGATCTCTGTTCACTTCGAAGATGATTGATAGGGCCTCTCAACCATCGGTAGTGTCCCATACCAAGGCGGAAAGACCACTCAGTTATTTGATCATTGTTGAGGCTTTCGTAACTTCCTTCGAATAGAATATCTGGAACACCATCAGGAGTTGTTCCTACCTCTAGTACAATCACCAAACATCGGGAGTCCCTTCCCAAATCGTGATACCAAACGCGTTGTATCTCGCCATCTATTCGAGGAAGAACATGTCGTTCTTAAAGATCTTCATCTCTATTGCATCGTCTTGAAGGTTGTGACAATCATAATATCTCATACGGCAGGTCAACAAATAAAGGCTCTTGAGTCGAATCCGTTGGTTTTTGGTTCTCCATCTTCTGAGCGTCACTACTACAAAGAAGCTACAAACAAGAATTGAAAGTAGAATGTTATCTTGCCTAGATGTTGTTTCTTTTAAAAAGAAGGTTTTCATCTTGATTTTGATGGATGTCGTCAATGAAAAGCCTCCACTGCCTTTGTTGCATTTGAAAGATTCTTTATCGGCTCCCATACACGTTCACTAATACCATATTTGCGCCAATGGACAAGATATTCTAATTTATTTCCGCGCCGCCTTGAATCTAAGACTTCTTCTACTTCAAACTCTTCATTATTGTCCACTTCTATAGGAGGAGGTCGAGCTTGTCGTTTTCTTGGTATGTCCACTGTCTTGTATGGTTCAAGAAGAGACACGTGGAATACTGGATGGATTTTCATTGACTCTGGTAGATGTAAACGATATGCAACTCGATTGATTTGTGTAGAAATAGAAAATGGTCCTAGCCTTCGATAGTCCAACTTGTCACAAGGACAAGGGGTCTTGATATTGTGACAAAGTAGCCATACCTTATCACCCAAGATG